TGTAATCACACCATAGCATTCCTTTACTCAAAGAAGGAATTCTTCTTGATGAGGAGACAATATCCAAAAAAAATCATTGAATAATAGATCTTTGAATATCACTATTTGAAATAAAAATTATGTAATAGAAATATCTATGGTCTTTCTATTTTTGAAATCTTCAATATCTCTTTCTTCATTCTTTATTTTGGGACTACAACCTGGAATTTCCTATTCAGTTTTTAAGATGTTCTGAATTCAATAGTGGAATCTAAATCCTAAAACATCAGGAGTGTGCATTTGCTTGTCTGAAAATCTTTCTTTGGAACAATATGAAAAGGACTTGACTGTTTTATTCTTTATGATACAAATGACATGAAAGAAAGGTACAAAGAAAAAAAAAGAGTTTGCTTCTGGTCAAAAAGGGAAAATGTCCACATCAAACTCATATAATTGTTTTCAGAAGATAACAAGTCCTCTGCATATATATTATAGCTATTACCTTTTTATATTTATGAGACTCCTAACTGTGATAATGAACAAGTCTCTGACTCTTTTTTCCTGCCCTTTGGGACTCTATTCTTCCTGATGGGTTGCCATGTCCACCATCAATTTGATTTTTCTTTTTGCTTCAACTTATTATATTTTATTTTGCAATATTTTCAATAAAGTGTTCCACTTTTATGTGCAGTTACATTAAAAACTGCACCCCAAACTAGTGGCTTAATAAAAAGGACCATATCTCATGGTTTTGTGGATAGGGTCTTCCATATGTGATTGAAAATACAACTAAGTCTGTTCTCATACTGTTTGGTTTTTTCTGGAGGTCCTGAAATGTCTTTCTAACAAACCTGGTGATAACTGGAAGGCTGTACCCATAAAGCACTGTGATACATGTTCATAACATTTTTAGTTTGATGGATTTAGGTTACTGTCCAGGCATCATATATGGTGACTTAGGGAAAAATTCCCAGAAACCTTCATAACATTTCTCCATTCCTGGTTAAAGTACTCAAAATGACTTGAAGTTAATGAACAATGGTCAATGCTTAGTCGAGAGAGTGTGGAAGAATTTGAGTCAATTTTCTCACTTCAATGGGTACCTCTCAAACTGTCGGTGTAGTGCTCGGGACTCTTTACTACTGACTATTTAAAACCCTGTCAAATATAAGTTCTCTTAATATTTTGATGTGTGTCTTGTCAAGGTTTACTCAAGCATAAAATATCCATGTTGCTAATTATATAGTATTTATACAAAAATGCATTTTATTGTACATTAGCTTGGTAATTTTTTTCTAAATCATATTTTATGAAAATAATTCTTTTTTGGTAGACATTCATCTCTGACCTTTGGATGACTTTGCATGATTGTTTGATTGTGACATGATTCCTACTTGCAGAAACTTTTTATACTTTGAATTAGAATATATTTTTAAAAACATCTGGTTATTAAGTATCTATTAGCTGAAAATATTTCTTTGCATCCATTGCTGAAATAAATGTATGAATATATGTGTGCATTTTAAAGTTCTTGTTTAAGGTTTGCTAAATTACTTTTCCATCTACCCTTGTGACCCCTGTCCCGTCGACCACCCAAGGGTACTGGTTCTTTTGCCAATTTTAAGCATTCTTCTATAATCATCTATAGATGTTTCAAGAAGCCACCAAAATCTACTGGCCAGCTATTCTTATATACTTTCTATCTGCTTCTATATTCCCTCTTTTTCTCCCATCTGGAATTACACAATAAATCCTGTCATAGCACATGGAAATATAAATATTATGCATATTATGAAGACTTTGAAGGAACCTTATTTAATTCTCCTGTTCATGATCTCTCTGACTTTTTCTGACTCTCTCTCTCTCTCTCTCTCTCTCTCTCTCTCTCTCTCTCTTTCTCTCTCTCTGGTTTCTCTGTAGCTTTGGAGCATGTCCTGGAACTCATTTTGTAGAGAGGGCAGCCTGCCTCTGCCTCCCAAGTGCTGAGATTAAAGGCTTACACCATCACCTCCTGTCCATTGTTTGTCTCTTTGTAGGAAGATTTGTGTGACTTTATTTTATTATTGCATATGTAGTTCTAAGAATTATCCCTATCAGATACTAAGTACTCAATAAACATTAGATCTAGGTAACTTGTTCCACCACGATTTCCATTTGCAAATATGAGAAATTGGGTTTACTGTCACCAAGACTTTCTTTTTTATACTAAAGTTTATCTTATGGATTCTTCATGGGAATCTCAGATGTTTACATTTTTGCCTATAACATTCATCTACCTTCTGAAATGGCTATGTGAACTAGGATAGGTTACTTAAATGTTCAGTGACATGCATTTTTACTGTGTCCCAGTCCAAAAAAAAGCACTATTTCTTTTGCAATCTTTAGTAGAACTAAATGGAATTATATAAATAAAGAGTAGTTGGCTCTGTATTATAACAGAATTCAAATTTTCAAATTCTATTACATCTGTCTCATATTTGTTTTCTCTTCAGAGTTCTGAGTATTAAGGGAAATTATTTGGTTATTAAGTCACAATATATTAAAATAGTGTGAGGTGGTAAATGACATCCTTTGACTCCCTCTAGCGTGATAAGAGGCAAAGATGCCAATGGACAGTCCTTACATTCTTCAGTCTCTGACCTTCCGCTTCCTGAAGGGGTCTCATCACAGAAATTAATCTAGCAACATGCGGAGCATTTCACTTCTTACTCTCCATATCTTTGTAGCAATTTCTTGAAATGTCATTTCCAATTCTCTTGCTGAAAAATTATGTTCTGGTTTATTTAATACAGCTATTTCTTAATCAGAATGTGACATCTGGATTTCCTGGCTCCCCAGATAACAGCTAGGGAGTTAATTATAGTGTCAGTAGCATGAAGCAGATGCTGTCAGAAGATCTTCAGAGGGGAGCTTAGGGGTTGCATTTAAGGACTGGAACCTGGAGGGTGGGAGGTGGAACTTTCTCTAGCAAGAAATCTGCTTTGCATTGGGATAGCTTGATCTACAGTGTGTTCATCAGAATGGGTTGACACCTGTGAGCTTAATGTTATGGCAGAAGGATAAGTTGTTGCATCTCAAGGTATTCATAGTTACAAGGACAGAAAACTATTAGCAAATCGTGTGTTCTGAACCCCTTGCTCCTGTCTAAGACTCCTTATTACCCTGACAGTCCTAATCACTGTCTTTTGCTGGATCTTATCCTATGCCTGTCATTAGCAGTAGTTCTTTTATTAATCCTCCAATTGAATATAAAATTTCACTAAATAGGATATTTGAATCACTAATGTTCAAAACATGAACTTTCTCTAATTGAAGTGACCAAATGAATTATTTTTTTCAGCACCCTTACTATTCTGAGTAAAATTAGTTATATAGAAAATGTGCTTTCTCTAGCATAATAGTAATAATAATAATAATAATTATAACAACACCAACATGCCAAGACAGCTGAAAGTTGAAAGAGTATAAATAGAAAATAACACAAGCATCTTAGAAGCGTATGTTATCTTCTCATGCAGAGAAGGGTTAATTATTTCTTACTAATCCTTTTCTGAATTTTCATTTAAGGAAAATTTTTTTCTTCCATCTTCTTTCAACACCCCTTTCTTGCGTGAAGTGGGAAGACCAGCTTGCTGACATTGCTAATAAGATTCCACAGTAATCCCAGCTCCCTGTTACATGCCTTTATTGCAACTGACCAAGTAGGCAAAGGGAGTAAGATATCTGTGAGTTCTAGGCCAGTCTGGTCTTCATCGACAAAGAGAGTTCCAGGCCAGCTAAGACCTCATAGTGAAACTATCTAAAAAGAACCCTATATTGTTATGGTACCAATTACAATTTATTTGTTTTGTTATTTGTCATGGGATTGTTTCTTAGTATTTTAGGACACAAGTACTAGACTTTGGTAGGCACTAGAGATAGCAGGCCCTTTTTTGGATTCCAAACGTGTCTGTTAACAAGGTACACGGGTCTTACATTGCTGAAACCTCTAGAGAGTTTGAACTCTAGTTGATTAGAGTGGCCGTCTTGAAAAAATTTAACAGCAAATACTTTTTCAATTAGATTAATTGGAGCAGCTGAAGTGCAGGTGGAGGCACAGAAACCCCTAGAAAGGTCTGTTCCCTTCCCTAACATGTCCCAGTATCCTGTTAGGTTGTGTTTGTATACAGCACAGAACTTCTGCTTCGCATGCTCCCTTTAAGAATGTAACTCTTCAAGGGTATTCTATCTTTCACATCAGTTATCAACAGAATTGAGGTGACTATGTCTTTAAAACTATGAGGGAGAAAACACTGTTAATCTTCCCAATCATGTACATTTCTTTTTTATCATTGGTTGTATGTTTGGGGAAATAAAAATAAGATGATTATTTCATGGATAAAAAATGCCATTTTTTGAAAAAAAAATGAGATTATAAATGCTACAAAGATATCCGTGAATTCTCTCAAGCCTCAGAAACAGCTAGTCCTTGTTATTGACTATAATAGAAGGGACACAGGCTTAGTATCTAAAACCTTAGACCAATGGTTCTCAACTTTCCTAATGCTTTGACCCCTTTAATACATTTCCGCACCTCAAGATGCAGTTCTCGAGACAACAAGCTAAACCTACTAGAAATACAGCACACAAATAAGCTTTATATTGAACAACATAATAACTTTAGATGAGTCTAGGAGGAATATCCTTTCTAGTGTTCTTTTATCTTTTAGCCTTTGTTGCAAAGACTACAAGCTTATGTACTTTTCCATTCTTCTATCTCCTGTCCTATTACTATCCCCGCAACCCTCTTCCTTTTCTTTAGCAGAAATGCACCATATGAATTACTCTAAATATATCATCTAGTTTTAAAACTGAATGCACCAAATATTGTTGTTTTCCTTTCCTAATAATGTTTTGGGGATTTCTCTCTTATTGTGGTATAAGGATATGTGAACAGGTCCAGTATTAAAGAAACTGCACAAGTACTAAAGAAATGTAACTCAATACTGAAGCGATGTAATAAGCCATGCTTTTCCCCCTAGAGACTGGATCCCCAATAACAGCATCATGTATTGGATTGGGTAACTCCAAAACACCTCCACCAGGGCAAGCAGGAAAATGTGTTCCAGGATACAATGGTAAGTCATGATACTAACAGTTTGAAATGTGTACTGTGAATTTGATGATTTTTTTTGCCTAGTGTATAGAGTACCTGATTTTAAGAATATCATATATTCGTAATGAATACCTCAGTTTTTGCTATGACAAAGAATGCTGTGGTCTTCTAATAACTTCCTTTTAATAACTAAATCAGTCAAGTAAATATCACTTTAAGAGTCTTTTACGGATATAGGTTTGAAATTATGGCATGTGAAGTGCCCAGTATTTACATATATCATTTCATATTTTCTTGATGCATCTTATTTTGTCTGTAGATTCATAAGTATTTAAAGATGAATAACATGAAGAACACAGAAATACTCCACATCATTGCTATAGTAATATAGCGCTTTAGTTTTTCAAGAACATAGAAGTCACCATAGCTTTCTTTGTTTCGTGCTTCGTTAACAAAATATCGATAGTTTCTTCCATAATGCTTTTAAAGAATGTTGAAAAGGCTCTTGAATCTTGTTGGCTAAAACTAATTGAAGAGTAAAAGATTTTAAAGGAATATTTTTTACTATGGGATTTATATAGCAATAATATATCCTAACAGTATTGATCTTTTATATTTATAGTAGTGGCCATTTTAGCCAAATAATTTCTAAGGGACTACCCTCCTTAGTTGCAATTTTTTAACTTTTTCAACATTCAATTATTATTTTTCTAAATGTCTATTATAATTGTATGGCTTCCTAGGGCTTGTGAGTTGTGATGTCATACAACCAAGCTGTTGCACAAGCACCACAACACAAAATTAGGAATGAAATCTCAGCTGTTAGTGCCACAAACACTTCAGAGATGCCAGGGAGACCAAATTGATACATATTCAGACATTCAGTGTAAAAAAGGGAAATGAAACATCAAGGTTGTATGACAGAACACACACACACACAATGTGTGTGTGTGTGTGTGTGTGTGTGTGTGTAGGTAATATATAAAGGTTTATATATAATTTACGTATGACACACAATTTTGTGTACTACATTTATGGGGAAAACCCAGTTTTCAGGGACAATCTGCTTAATGTCATGTACTGGCTAGTTTTATTTCAGCTTGACACAAGCTGGAGTCATCAGAAAGGAGAGAGCCTCTATTGAGAAAATGCTACCATAAAATCCAGGTGTAGAATATTTTCTTAGTGATCAATAGGGAAGAGTCCAGCTCACTGTGGGTGGTGCTATCCATGGTGGTAGTCTTGAGTTCAATAGAAAGTAGGCTGAGCAAGCCATGGGAAAAAAGCCAGTAAGCAGCACCCTTCCATGACCTCTGCATCATCAACTCCTGCCTCTAGGCTTCTAACCTGATGGAGTCCCTGACTTCAGTTCCTTTTAGAATTAATTGCTATGGACTTGTAGCAAAATAAACCCTTTACTGCCCAAGTTGTTTTGGGTCATGGTGTTTCATCAACACAATAGACAGCCTGACTATGACAGGTTACATATATGTATATTTTCAGGGCAGATGATTTGGCATTGGAAAACCAGTTTATGTGCTATTCTATGGGGAAGACTATTTCTCCTACTCCTGGCTTGCTTAGTTAACTATAGTTCTTTACATCGCATTGAAGCCTCATGAGTGTTCTCTGTCCACTTTAGCTTGCCTATTGCTGTTGCCCTTATTATGGTCATGTTTCAACAATCATGTTGGACATTTTGCTGAGGGCAGATATCTGTTTTATTATCCTGTAAAGCCTAGGCTTCTCTTGCCATGGAAACGTGAAGTCATGTCTACTGAGTCCCTCATCTGAACAGTTGTCCCCCTCATTCTTTGATCAGAAAACTGGCTTTGTGTTGAGACAGTTTTAGGGGTTGCCAATTGTGGGAGATGTTAAACACATTTTCCCCTTAGTATTTCTGTTCCATTTTGATACCCAGTTCTAAGAAAGAGTTAAGCTATGATGCTTCACTTCAATACAGAAACTCCTCATTGTCTGAAAATCAGTGGTTTCCAGAGGACGGTTTCAACTGCTCTAGTTGAGGAAGCATGAATTTAATGGCTGACTTATTTTTGGTTCTTTTTATGGTTATACAGAACTTTGAAGGCATAATATAACACATAGAATTATGATAAAGAAGCAAACTACTTTGGGAAAGGAAAGGAAGTCTTTTTTAGGAAAAAGATGCAGGTGATTAATTTAATCATGTGTCAGTGTATTCTTGTAGCTGCGTAAGTAGACTGCAGAGAAGAGAGCAGCATATAGATTACAGACTCTACAAAAAGAAGCTAGATGATTATGATTCATGTTTATGTTTGATACACTATAATGTGGACACATGATTTGCTAATAAAACACTTTCCATATTTTATCAGGACATCACAGAAACTATTGGAATGATATTTAGAAATGTAAATTTTCCTAATTTACATGTCACAAATGCATATTTGTTTTTATCGTTTGTATATTTGACTGTATTTTTAATCTGCATCCTTTAGTTTATTAAAGATAAACATTTATGGTTAAGATTCTTATGTGGACATAACTATAAAAAGAAGTCTATGGGATTCTTAGACATATTTATTTATTTTAGGGAGGTCCTGAGGAAATTTATTGTCTTACTACATGTGAAATACATGGCCTTTTGTACTTTCATAAAACATATTTTAGCTTACCAATATATCTTCATGGTCTTACAGGAATACAAATAATATTTTGAGCTAGAAACTTCAGGATTGAATTTAGAAAATATGGGAAAATATTTGACGCTTGAGAGTTAGTGTTGTGTTCACAATTATGTTCAGACTTGTGTTCACATTTTTCTTACAGTTATGATTTTGGATGACAACATGCAAAAACTGAAGGCTCGGAGCTTAGGAAATATTGTGGTAAAGTAAGCAAAAATTTTGACCTGACCACTTAAAAAATAAAAAGAAATGGTTATATTCAGGTCAAATTGATTGAACTGCTTTGATTTTACAAGTGGTGAAATATATTTTGCTTTTGCATGATTCCAGCTCAATTGTAATCTAAAATGGAAGCCCCATAACACACAACATATTCAAATTAAAATTTAAAATGCAATTCTTGCTCTTTAAAATAACCCTTTTCTCAATTGACAAGTAATTTATAGGTGATAAAATTATCTTGTATATAGAAAATATAAAATTAAATCAATGGCCAGTCCTGGAAACATGCATACAAGTAAAATTATACAAACTGAGCAGGTTATATTTAGGTTATATTGTATACATATATACAATGTTATATATATTAACAATGTTATATATATTAACAGTGTTTTATATATATATGTACATATATACATACAATAACAATGTTTGAAAAATAAGACATGAATTTGAAAGAGAGCAAAGAGACTTATATAGAAGGTTTTGGAAGGAAGAAAAAGAAGGGAGAAATGATGTAATTATATTATAATCTTCAAAGGAAAACACAAAACAGTAGTTTATGTGCCCACTTCTCTCAGCAACGTCACACTAGTTGTGCAATGTACAGTCCTGGTGACATATCTACCACCTAGACATCATCTTGGCACACCAGATGGGATGGTGCTCCTGTAGGATTTTCATGCAAACTCCTTCCACATGCTTTTGTCTCTCTAGTGAGTGCAGCACACAAGGGCTTGGGCCATGCTGATGCAAGCAACCTACTAGTATTCTGCTAGTATTTTATTTTATTTTTTTTTAATTTTAAAATATATAATGTTTAAATTTAAAGTATAGTACATTATATATGATACCTTTGCACTTAGCAATAATACTTAGCAGCTAGCGAATTATTCTGCTTCTTGAAGACCTCTCTCTTCTCTTTCTTTTTTTTTTATTAAATTATAAAAGTTTCCATTTCAGCCCCTCCTCCCAACACCCTCCCACTCCCCCCACTCCCTCTCCTCCTCCCTCTCCATCCCCTAGAGCAGTCAGGGTTTCCTGCCCTGTGGGAAGTTCAAGTTCCTCCCCCCTCCCTCCAGGTCCAGGGAAGGTGAGAGTCCAAACAGATTGGATTCCCAAAATCCAGTATATGCAGAGGAAGCAAGTCCCAGTGTCATTGTCAACGGCTTTTCAAAAAGGCTCTGGGCCAGCCACATTCAGAGAATCTGGTTGGATCACGTCCTCGTTCAGTCCCAGTCCAACAGGCCTTGGTGAACTCTCATTATATCAGTCCCCTTGTATCAGTGGGTGCTCGCATCCCTCGCAGTCCTGTTTACTTTTTTTATTTTCTTCATCATTCTGTTCCTCATTTGGACTGTGGAGTGCTCAGTTCGGTGTTCCAATATGGGTCTCCATCTGTATCGCCATCCAACGTCGGATGAAGGTTTCCTGTGCCCTTGCCTTCTTTGCTCACGATCTCTTTCCTTCTGCCTCTCATTTGGACCTAGGGAGCTAGGTCCAGTGTTCCAACGTGGTTCTCCGCCTCCATCTCCATCCATCGCCAGATGAGGGTTCTGGGACTCTTGTCTATTTCCTACCTCCTGGCGGATAGCTAAATAATCTTCATCAGGTTCATCTTCTTATTTAGCTTCTCTAGGATCACGAATAATAGGCTCAAAGACCTTTAATTATGGTTAGAATCCACTTATGAGTGAATACATACCGTGTTCCTCTTTTTGGGTCTGGCTTACCTCACTCAGTAAAGCGTTTTCTATTTCCATCCATTTGCATGCAAAATTCAAGATGTCATTGTTTTTTACCGCTGAGTAAAACTCTAATGTGTATATGTTCCACACCTTTTTTAACCATTCTTCTATTGAGGGGCACCTAGGCTGTTTCCAGGTTCTGGCTATTACAAATAGTGCTGCTATGAACATAGTAGAACAAATGCTTTTGTAGTATGTTAGGGAATCTTTAGGGTATATTCCCAAGAGTGGAATTGCTGGGTCCTGAGGGAGGTTGACTCCCAGTTTCCTGAGAAACCGCCACACTGATTTCCACAGTGGCTGCACAAGTTTGCATTCCCACCAACAATGGATGTGTGTTTCCCTCATTCCACATCCTCTCCAGCATAGGCTATCATTGGTGTTTTTGAGTTTGGCTATTCTGACAGGTGTAAGATGATATCTCAAAGTTGTTTTGATTTGCATTTCCCTGATCGCTAAGGAGGTTGAGCATGACCTTAAGTGCTTTTTAGCCATTCGAAGTTCATCTGTTGTGAATTCTCTGTTCAGTTCAGTACCCCATTTATTAATTGGGTTAATTAGAGTTTTAGTATCTAGTTTCTTGAGTTCTTTGTATATTTTGGAGATCAGACCTTTATCTGTTGAAGGGTTTGTGAAGATCTTTTCCCAGTCAGAAGGTAGCCTTTTTGTCTTACTGACAGTGTCCTTTGCTTTACAGAAGCTTCTCAGTTTCAGTAGGTACCATTTATTTATTGTTTCTCTTATTGTCTGCGCTCCTGGGGTTCTGCTTAGGAAGTGGTCTCCTGTGCCTATATCTTGTAGACTACTTCCCACTTTCTCTTCTATCAGGTTCAAAGTGGTCGGATTAATGTTGATGTCTTTTATCCATTTGGACCTGAGTTTTGTGCATGGTGATAGATATGGATCTATTTTCATTCTTCTACAGGTTGACATCCAGTTATGCCAGCACCATTTGTTAAAGATGCTATCTTTCTTCCATTGTATAGCTTTAGCTCCCTTGTCAAAAATCAGGTGTTCATAAGTTTGTGGGTTAATACCCGGGTCTTCTATTCGATTCCATAGGTCGACTTCTCTGTTGTTATGCCAATACCAAGCTGTTTTCAATACTGTTCTCTGTAATAGAGTTTGAAGTCAGGGATGGTAATGCCTCCAGAGGTTCCTTTATTGTATAAGATTGTTTTGGCTATCCTGGGTTTTTTGTTTTGCCATATAAACTTGATTATTGTTCTCTCAAGGTCTGTGAAGAAGTTTGATGGGATTTTGATGGGAATTGCATTGAATCTATAGATTGCTTTTGGTAGAATTGCCATTTTTACTATGTTGATTCTCCCAATCCAAGAGCAGGGAAGATCTTTCCATTTTCTGGTATCCTCCTCAATTTCTTTCTTCAAAGACTTAAAGTTCTTGTCAAATAGGTCTTTCACTTCCTTGTTTAGAGTTATCCCAAGATATTTTATGCTGTTTGTGGCTATCGTGAAAGGTGATGTTTCTCTGATTTCCCTCTCTGCTTCTTTATCCTTTGTGTAAAGGAGGGCTACTGATTTTTTGGAGTTGATCTTGTATCCTGCCACATTACTAAAGGTGTTTATCAACTGTAGGAGTTCTTTGGTAGAGTTTTTGGAGTCGCTGATGTACACTATCATATCGTCTGCAAATAATGAAAGTTTAACTTCATCCTTTCCAATTTGAATCCCCTTGATCCCCTTATGTTGTCTTATTGTTATTGCTAGAACTTCAAGCACTATATTGAAGAGGAATGGTGAGAGTGGACAGCCTTGTCGTGTTCCTGATTTTAGTTGAAAGGCTTTGAGTTTCTCTCCATTCAATTTGATGTTAGCTGACTGCTTGCTGTATATTGCTTTTATTATATTTAGGTATGATCCTTGTATCCCCAGTCTCTCCAACACCTTTATCATAAATGGGTGTTGAATTTTGTCAAATGCTTTTTCAGCATCCAATGCAATGATCATATGGTTTTTATCTTTCAGTTTATTTATATGATGGATTACATTGATAGATTTGCGTATGTTGAACCAACCCTGCATCTCTGGGATGAAGCCCACTTGATCATAATGGATAATTTTTCTAATGTATTCTTGGATTCGGTTTGCCAGTATTTTATTGAGTATTTTTGCGTCAATGTTCATGAGTGATATTGGTCTGTAATTCTCTTTCCTGGTTGTGTCTTTGTGTGGTTTTGGTATCAGGGTAACTGTAGCTTCATAAAAAGAGTTTGGCAGTGATTCTTCTGTTTCTATATTGTGAAATACATTAAGGAGTATAGGTATTAGCTCTTCCTGGAAGTTCCGGTAGAATTCTGCATTGAAACCATCTGGTCCTGGGCTTTTTTTGGTAGGGAGATTTTTAATAACAACTTCTAATTCTTCACGACTGGCAGGTCTATTTAGATTGCTCACCTGTTCTTGGTTCAACTTTGGTATATGGTACTTATCTAAAAAAATGTCCATTTCTTTTACATTTTCCAACTTTGTGGCATATAAATTTTCGTAGTAAGATCTAATGCTTCTCTGGATTTCCTCTGTGTCTGTGGTTATGTCCCCCTTTTCATTTCTGATCTTATTAATTTGCATGTTCTCTCTCTGCCGTTTGATTAATTTGGATAGGGGTTTGTCGATCTTGTTGATTTTCTCCAAGAACCAGCTTTTTGATTCATTGATTCTTTGGATTGTTTTCTGTGTTTCTATTTTGTTGATTTCAGCCCTCAGTTTGATTATTTCCAGTCTTCTACTCCTCCTGGGTGAATCAGCTTCTTTTTTTTCTAGATCTTTCAAGTATGCTGTTAAGTCTCCAATGTGTGCTTTCTCTGTTTTCTATAATTGGGCACTTAGTGCTATGAACTTTCCTCTTAGCACTGCTTTCATAGTGTCCTATAGGTTTGAGTATGTTGTGTCTTTATTTTCATTAAATTCAAGGAAGACTTTAATTTCTTTCTTTATTTCTTCCTTGACCCAGGGGTGATTCAGTAGTTGACTGTTCAACTACTATGAATTTGATGGCTTCCTGGGGGTAGCACTGTTCTTGAATTCTAACTTTAATCCATGGTGGTCTGACAAGACACAGGTGGTTACTAATATTTTTTTGTATCTGTGGAAGTTTGCTTTGTTACCCAGTATGTGGTCAATTTTCGAGAAGGTTCCATGAGCTGCAGAGAAGAAGGTATATTCTTTCCTATTTGGGTGGAATGTTCTATAGATGTCTGTTAAGTCCATTTGATT